TTTTTATTAAAATCTTTTTAATTGTAATTATTTCTGTTGTGGTTACCTAGAGTTGTTATAAAAAAAGAGTAATTAAAATTTAAATTAAAGGTTAATTGGAACGTTTTTATGGTAAATCTCTAGTCAACATATCACTTCCTGACATAAATGGAAAATATTGGATGTTGTTACATTACATTTTGAAGTGTGTTTTGACTGAGTGAGTTGAAAATAGTAAATATAATTTTTCTGTTGCCCATGTTGATACAACAACATTTCTAAATATATTGTATTATTTTCTTATATTGACAATGGTTCTTCATGTGTGTTACCTTGGATACTGCAGTACAGTTACATCTACTGTATATGCCGTGATACTTCACCACCTCACCTTGCAGTTACTCCTATTTCAACCCCACGCCACAGTCTCTACCTTTATATATTTTAGTTTTTCCAAAGTCACTTTTTACTAAACGTAGACTCTATATTTTAATATCATAAAATAAAATAAAATAAAAGAACTGTAGTTTAGTACCAAGGAAGATGTGAAGGTAAAACCAGATCCTGGAGCAGAACTGGAGGAATCTTGTAGTTCATTTCTTCTGGTTAGCCACAGAGGCTCCACATGACCCTAAATATTACTGACCAAACCCGTTGAGCCAAGTTTTTTTTTTTCATCCAGTTTCGCCTGCAGGAACTTGCCATGCAAAGTGAATAAAGGGAGGTTTCTGTAAAAGTGCGGGGCCTCAGTACGTACAGCTGTGAGTGTCTGGCGACGTTTCCTCGGGGCGGCCGTTGATGTGGCTTCTTTGTACTGACTTCTATAATGTGACCATGAAAAGGCGTCCGAGGACAAACAATGAAAAATGTTTGATCCAGGACCAAGTGGGGATTGTCAGAGTGGTAACTGTGGGAGTGGACGCTCATTCATTAAAAGGACATTGGTCCCAGAAGCGTGTCTGCTGCTGTAAAGACATCCAGAGACGGAGCTGCTCATTTTAAAGCCCATACCTCTGTGTGAATACTTGGGTTTTTCCCTCTGCAGAGGTTTCCCTCATTGTTGACTTTAAGTTAAAGTATTTATGATCACATTAAAGCCCCATCATAAAGAGCTGCATGAATCCAGGCTTCATGTCGTACTGTTACCACATGAAGGATTAAGATTCTACAGATAACTTCCTGTTTGCCAAACCGACTTCCTGTCCCAGTTAGAGGGTCAGGATTTAAAGGCTTGATTTTCAAGACGGTGTTTTCTGATGAGCTGCTCTGACATCATGTCTCCTGCCGCCGTGTTCTACTGTCTACAGATCAGAGAAGAACTGCGAGCCAATGGGATCGACGTCTACCCTCAGAAGGAGTTTGACGAGGATGCAGAGGACAGGATGATCAACGACAAAATCAGGGTGAGTCCACACCGAGCCGACAGCACATCTGGGTTGTTTGATCATTACATTTTGGCACATCATTTACATATTATTTGGTCTGTTTGTCGCTTTTCTTGACAGGAAATGATCCCTTTTGCTGTAGTGGGCAGCGACCAGGAATACCAGGTGAACGGGAAGAGGATTCTGGGAAGGAAAACAAAGTGGGGCACCATAGAGGGTAAAGAGAAGACACGGCACAACAGCACATTTTCAATCATAAAAAAAACAGGTTTCTGTTGGTCCAAGACACACCAGCATATTGACTAATGAATACAACACACAAACAAACACAGCGTGGCCTCAAACATGATCTCCAGTTCTACTTTATCACCTATTTTCATTTAAATAGGATTTAACCCCGTAGCATTAACATAAGGTTTTGTTAGAGTCCTTTATCTATTGATTCAGACCAAAATCACTACTGGACAAAAACATGGTTGCCATAAACCAAGAATGGTTTCCTCAAATATTCCCATAGATTTCCCTTCATATGGAGTCACTTCTGAATCTCGCCTGCAGCCAAACGACTGAATCACTTTTGCTTATACATTCCGCGCACGCAACTGCTGTATGATCTGGTTTAATTTGTTGTGTCTCGAACATGCAAAACGTGGCGAACTGCAGCTTCAAAATCTGGCCGGCCGCCTCAGGCCATCTGTCTTTCTGACGCAGAGACGTTTGTTTACACACGTCTCTGTGAGTCCGTAACCAGGGAGACGTTAGAGGCAGGAGGTAGAGATTTGCCAGGGCTGTCTGTGTCTAACTGAACCATAATATATATATATATATGTATACACTGTACGCTGTGTATACACACACACCACCAGATGGTCTTAAACTCACACACACGTTCACAGCTGGCGTGTTGACACAGTCTACTTTTGGAAGTTTGTGCTGAACACGTCCTCACCTCAACCATGTGTTTGTTGACTGTGGTGTCGTCTTCTCCATCCTTTTCTGTTTTCTCTCCTGCACAGGCTCAACATGAAACATTTGGAATATTAAGTTTGCAACATTGTTTTGCTTTAAAGGGGTATAAAAATCAGGCATGGTTAGGGAAAAAAAATCTAAATCTGGGTTTCTGAACCCCCCCCCCAAATTAAAGGGGAGTCAATATCAATCATTAGACGAGGCAAAGACAAAGTTGTGACCCTGAAGGAAACACTGTATACAAATGTCTTTGGACCTAAATGTAGGACATGTGTAGAAATAGTTTTGTTATTTTCATATATAAACTTTTTTTTAAAATTTGTTATGTTACGTATTTCTTAAATGACCTCTTACATTTTACATAAACCGTTAGCGTAATAGCATAAATGCGTCTGTTATATTTTAGCTGTGGAGTTCACTGTATATTTTTATAGGACACTTGTTCACACAGGTTCTGCTCAAGTTTCAGTGAGAAAAAAAAATCATTTTTCCTTTTTTCTGAAAAGCTTAAATATCACTTAGCTAATTGTGCTATGTTGCTAACCATATGAAATTTGTTGTAATTCAATCATTTACCTATTCCACAAATGGACATTAAAAAAAGACCAGTAGGTCAAACTGAAGCATGATTTCTGGAGCAGCAGCGTGGCTGCAGAATGGTTTTGAGACCACAGAGCTGCAGCGTGTTTGAAGGTGACTCACAAATGGCGCTAAAGAAAGAACAAAACGGCAGCTCTATTCAAGTAAAGCCGAGCAGCCGAGAAAAGAAATTGCAGTACGTGTTGGCGCTGACATGGAAATTAGCCCCAGTGGAGAAACCAGAAGTGGAGACTGTATCTGTGTCTGATTTTTTTTCTTTTTTCTTTGAACAGAGAACATTTGCGAAAGAGAGTAGAACTCAGTGTGGAGCACACATGGCTTCATACTCCAGGTTCTTAACGTTAGCTCTAATTAGCACTGACACATTTGGATTTCCACTGTGTGGTTGCCCCAGCAGCAGCTGGTCTCACAGAGTTTGTTAGAACAGCTAACCCAACATTAGTCCATACAGAAAAATGTCCCATTTCAAAGATTTTTCTCTTTTTTTAGGAAAAAAAATTCATTTAAAAAATATCAAGTTAAAGGGTTGGATTTTATCTCAATTGAACCAACACTCCCATCTAGAGGCATACTGGAGAACTGCAATGTATATGTTGTTTTTAAAGCCCTCATAATGTTCTGTCGTCTTTTGCAGTTGAGAATATTGCACATTGTGAGTTTGCCTACCTACGAGACCTGCTCATCAGGTGAGAGCCGATACAGTTTGATCATATTTATCTTTATTTTTGATTATTTATTATTTTATGTTTATTATTATGACATTATTTATATAGTCTCTACTGAATTGTACAAATTGAGATGTTATTGAACTATTGACAATAACAGATAACAGATTCATCGTGATACTATTGTAAAATTACATTTGTTATAGAGGATTTTTTTTTTAGTGAATCAGTCTTTTTTGTTCAATCAAACTTTGAACCAAAAGAACAAAACAAAACAAAAACTTTGGCCGATGTTCTATCCAAACATTTAAACACACTAGTTCGATTATTTGTTAGTCAATCATTTTGTGACTGACAAATGTTCTATATATTTTTTGTTCTGGTGCTGTAACTCGGTCTCCTTGTCCCCTTCAGGACACACATGCAGAACATCAAAGACATCACAGGCAGCATCCACTATGAGACGTACCGCGTCCGCAGGTTAAACGAATCCAACGGCCATTTCACAGTGGAGCCCAAAGCCAACGGTCAGCCCACGGAGCTGCCCGCCGTCCTGCAGAACAATGGGGTGGCCGCCCAGCTTGAAGTCCTGTCCCACGAGATGTAGACACTCCTGTGTGCGGACGACGTACTCGCACATACCGTTTGTTTACATGATCACGAACCACACGTACACACTTTTTAAAAAGTGACTGCATCACCACAACGTTATCAGGTTCAGGACACAGGACTCAGGGTAAACGGTTCATTCTGAGGTTCTTGTTTGTCTTTAAATCATTATCACAGTCTTCACGACAGAACGGCAAAAAAATCCACAACACAAATGACAGTACATTCAGGGCTGCTTCACCATGTACCACTGGTGCTGAAGGCTGGGTACAAAACATGACAACAATAGTCAGCTTCAGTTCCTGTGTTTACTCTTAGAGCATCTGCAGCCGCGAGAACAAACATTTGAAAGAAGGAACAGATCAGAATAATCACAGCGTGGTTCCAGATCAGCCCTGAACAAAACTGTTGGAGCCACTGCTCTGTATTGTAATGTGGTGTATAGTCCTGTATAGACCCGAGTGATGTAGTAAAGTAGGTTAATAATATAATGGAGGAAGTGAACATGTTGCAGACACCTCTGCACTGCCAATGAAAACCAAAGTAGTCGCAGTGAAGAGAAGAGACGAGAAGATCTGGGTAGAAAAAAAATCAGAAAGATTCCTCTGGCGTTGATTTCTTTTTTTTGTCATGTTTTTAAAAGTGTATTTGCCAAATGACCCTGTGTGTTTCTATGTAATGCCAATATTGTGTAACAGTCATACCTTTCATTTTTACATCGCTCATTTACTATTGTATTTTTTATTGCTCTTGTTCTGGCTCTAACCTTGTCGTGTGGGGATGTGGCGGCGGCGGAGGAACGTGTGCGTTTGTGGAACCGTTTAACCAGTTGTTGTTTTTTGTTTTTGTTTTAGTTTTTTTCTCACCATAAACCAAATAAAAGTGATTTTGTCTTCGGTTCTTAAGAAAAGCACATGCAGTATATAGAGTTGATTTATGAATAGGTATTTATGTTGTCGTTGTTCAGTGTGAAGAGCAGAAATCCACTCGTCATTCCAACCTCCAGACGTCTTGTTCTTCTTCTTGGTTTTTGTGTAGCTGCACTCATTTAAATAAGTCACTGCTGGCTCGCTGCTGCCCCTAGAGTTAACCTGCTAGTGAAGTGGTCCGTGTTTGTCTAACTCAGCAGCGGTGTCTACCCGACAACCTCTCGTCTGACGAGGACAGTTTAGTCAGTCTGTGTAACCGACCTGAAACCACAACCTTAAACACACGTTATTTACCCTGATTACAAACATCCAACGTTGGTTTTTAATGCTAAAAAAATGTTCCATACATGTGAAAAAAATCTAAATTTCCCTTTTGTCCATAGAAAAAAATAACAACATTGTAGTTGACACTCTGTTTACTGTTGTAAAGTTCCTGTGTAATTTGTTATGGTATTATAGATGATCACTTTATCTTTGGTTTGATATCTCCAAGAATAAAGACTGATATTTTTATTGTTCCAACACGGCTGTGTTCATTGTAAATGTGTTTCAGCTCAGAACAGTCATGTTGTCAGGACGGTCTACGGCAGGTCTACGTACCATACCTACGGTTAATGATGAACTTCCAGGAACCTACATACATTTTCTGTACAAACCACTGTATGAGTTGCTGCCACCTAGTGACTGGAGGCCTGTCAACATTCAAACATCACAGCAGTGGTAACTGTTCAACCAAGAATCTAAAACTTTTAGACAGGTGTAAAAATGTTATCTCTTTTACTCCGCTGTTGCTACGCAGTCGTATTCTCACCACCAACTGCAGCGACACCGGTCCAGAAGGCAGGTCATTGGTCTTAAGTGCAGCACAAAGGTCCAATCAAATGAGAGGAGATGTGAATTTCCAGAAGAATCCGGCGGCGTTCACACAGCACAGGTTTTCACCGGGCTCCTCATTTACACCCTTCCTCACAGACCCTGTTGATGGTAACGTCGTCGACGGGGTTGTTAGTTGAAGGTCACCGTCGTTCCCTCACACACCGCGGCTCCTGCTGTGTGTGAAACAGTTCGGTGCTAACGACGGTGGCGCCGTGACAAGTGAGAGGAGTGAAAGTTGGAGACAAATACAGAGCGTGCTCGCTGTGGCCTCCGCCAACACTGGCACCTCTCTGTCTTCCATGTCAGCCAGCCTGAGTCATGAGGAGAGGCGATAATGACACCCCCGACGGAGCTGTGACATTGTCAGGTACAAGGGTGAGATAATGGATATTAATGGTCGCTGCTGAGTCAACCGGCTCATTTTTCAGGTCGTTCCGCACTACGTATTAACATGAGATTCCATTGTTTATAATGGTTTCACACGTTCACTTCATTAATATCGCCTGACCGATATTATCGCCTGATGTTAGCATGATTATATAATATCTGTAAGAATCGTTATCGGTTTTTCCTCCGATAATGAAAACCTGATAACGCAATGCCTGGGTTTCGCCAAATGACGTGTGCCCTAAAAATAGTTTTGGAGAAAAACGGTTGTTTATTAAAGTGAAAGTCACTAGATGGCAGCATTGCAGGTCATTTAATTAACCTTATACTTATACAGTGGTTTGAACAGACACACAGTAGTCAGAATGAGAAGAGAGAACTTCTTTAATCCTTCTGTCAGTGTGCAGTACCCTCCTGTGAAAATGCATCCAAATTGAGAGATGGAGAATTTCCTTCACAGTTTTTTGGTTTTTTTACAGAGTTCCGTCTTCTACTGCAGCCCTACTTTTGTCTGTCTTTCACTTGGATGTGATTGGCCAATTCCCAGCTCTGCTCCTCTGTGATTTTTTCAAATTCCCAGCTCTGCTCCTCTGTGATTTCTTCAACTTTTTCAGCATTTCACCAATGTTCAAGTAAGTCAAGTATTATTATTATCATTTTTAGCATTTTTTTTCTCACAGGACAATTTTAGCCATCTGAGTTATTATGAATCTGTTATTTTTGTGCCCCTAAAAGCTCCTTCACCAGAAGCTAAAAAGCTATAAATGAGTCAGCTATTGCCCCCACCATCCCCACCCCCCCCCGACCACCATATTGTTGTTGTTCCAGAAACACAGATATTGATGCCAAAACCAGCAGCAGGTACATCATGAGTCTCAGCTGGATCACATGGATTAATGTATCACTCCAACACAGGCGTCGTGTTTCCAGTACATATACAGTGATGTGTGCTGCAGTGGTGTCGTGAGGAAGTCCGTCTGTGGAATATAATCTTCTTGTT